GGGGGGGGGCATATCGTTAATATCAATTCATGCATGTCGACATATTGCCTTTTTACGACTGGAGAGAACTTTAAATCTGAAATTGACTGATCCTAACGTACGTATGTGATTCATGTGGATGGTGTCCAGGACTGTGTCCCCGTTAGCCGCCGTGAGTCGCAGGTGTATGGGATACCTGACAGGCTTATCAAAACCTGCCCCCATAGTCCAGAAGCCATCAGTTGTATGTTGGAAACTGGCATAATGATTGTCCTGTTGTCGCATCTCTACTTTTGTGGCAGGAATTCTGTGGGGGTAAGGTATGGACATGAAACAAACGAATGAAAGTTGTGGTCAAGTGAGCAGGTTTATATCATCAATTATATTACTTTTTGTATGTCTTCACGATAATGTCGTCAACATAGACTGTTTGTCTACTCGACCAATCACAGCAAACACAAGCAAAACTCCTTAGAAGATATGGTTGGTACTTTTGACTGTAAAAGTATTTTCGAAAAGAGAAACGAAGCTCATGCTAACCTTGCATTACGGACTTGGAGCTTCAAGTAATAATCGTTGCTTCCCTGGAATTTGTATTCGATTGGTGTGTTACCGACTGGACATTGGATAGCCCGGATGGAAATCCCCCATCGACCATCACCATTCTTGGCAAAATCCACGGACCCTTATATATAACACAGATATAATGTATCACTATTTGTTTTCAAATGGGGTTTTGAGAATATTATACCTATGAATTCACGAAACACATTCCTTGTAAGCTGATTTGTAAGCATTGACATAACTGTCAGCATTTATCCACTGCAAGTTCTTTCATAAGCACTACCAGGATAAATTGCGTTCATAGAGCTATGAACGCGATTCGATCGGCGTCTTTTTGAAGATTCTCCTCCCGCCTCAATTAATATGAGACAACCGCTATAATAGAATCAAACGTTTTGGTGACATTAGGCTGTTTTGAGCTGACGACGCTGACACTAAAATATCGAAAATATTAGTGAATATCTATATTTAGGTCAATAATAACTGAAGATATACAAGTGTAGAATGTAAATAAAGGGTTGTACGTTATTTTCCCAATGTTCCTGCCGGTATGAACGCAAATCAGTTATATTCATATTTACCATGAAGCCCCAGCGTTCAATCCTTATAAAAATTGTTTGATCTAAATTACAAATATTTGAAATATATGTGAATAAACTTTGTTTCCATCCTTTTGAGATTTTCGTACACCTACCGGCGTGACACTCCGGACACAGGTCCTTGACGAATACGATGTGTTGACCATTGATCGGGTCATTACCAAGACCGTGACCAGTCCCATTAACCTGCAATATTCACATTTCACGTATATATAAATAAATCGGCTTACTACAAATATATGAATTTTGCATGTTTTCAAACATGGATACAAAACTGGATACGAGTTTATCCAAATCGTAAAATATACACACTGACTGAAACAAGGCGTATTGACATGCATCACAAATACAGGATACACTCACCGTAAAACACATGCCACAAGCTAAAGATCCGAAGAATTGAGGACTGTTGAGGGCCACATAATCTGTAATGGCGTGGTTTTTGGCCACAGGAGGCAGGTCTGGAGGGGTGTAACTACATGTTCCACTAGAACCAACTCCGTAATAGGTCCCCTGAAACAAATACACAAAACAATCACCGATTGTTAAAAATTGCTAATTGTAAAAAGAAAATCAATTATGTTACATTTCATGTGTCAATTACTTCTCTAAAAATAAAATTGTACGTGTATGTGTCAATGAAAAATGTATAACTTTATAATTCTTATTGCTGGTGTACGAATGACACGTGTCGAATGCTGATTTGGAAAATGCATCTCTACTCTAGCTTTTGTACGGCTGTGTGTCGAATGCTGCATTGGAAAATGTAACTCTATTGTAGGTATCGTGTGGATGTTACTATGGTGATGTATGCTGTAATGCACATTTCATATATAATGTAACTGGTCTACTATGGTGTCGAATGCTGTATTGAACATTATATATCTACTGTACCTGGTCTACTATGGTGTCGAATGCTGTATTGAACATTATATATCTACTGTAACTGGTCTGCTATGGTGTCGAATGCTGTATTGAACATTCTATATCTACTGTAACTGGTCTAATATGGTGTTGAATGCTGTGATAAACATTTTATATCTACAGTAACTGGTCTACTATGGTGTCGAATGCTGTATTGAACATTTTATATCTACTGTAACTGGTCTACTATGGTGTCGAATGCTGTAATGAACATTTTATATCTACCGTAACTGGTCTACTATGGTGTCGAATGCTGTATTGAACATTATGTATCTACTGTAACTGGTCTGCTATGGTGTCGAAAGCTGTATTGAACATTTTAAATGAACTGTATCTGGTTTACTATGGTGTTGAATGCTGTAATAAACATTTTATATCTACAGTAACTGGTCTACTATGGTGTCGAATGCTGTATTGAACATTTTTAAGCCCATAACTTATGACAGTTATTAATTTTCATAGTAGCCAGTACAGAGAACTTAAAATGAAGAAATTGATCGTTTTTGTTTTATTTATATTTAGAATTTAATCTGATGTCGCCAATTCTGTCCTTGAAGCTATGACGTTGATGAAACGTGAACGATTTAAATGACAAATATTCGTTTTTGGCCATCGATATCAAATCCAGGATTTAATCAACTTCCTGCGCATGTGTCGTGGATTTTCATTGGTAGATCTACATATTGCGAATTGGATTCTGTTTTGCGACTTACATTAGCTATGATGCTTACATCTGTGAATTTTGTTAAATGTTGCCGTTTCTATACACAAAACTGAGATGATTGCGTAATAGGAATTAGATAGATTGTATAAGTACTTACATCGCCCCTGAAGTTATGTTTGTAGAGGTTGATTATATCGTGCTCATGTGACCCGTTGGCCAGGGTCAGCACAGAGAGGAGGATGGTCAGTAGTACCTTCATCGTCCTATAGTAATGACCAGCAGAGCAGTTATTACATTGACATATAGCAGTCTCTGTGGAACGTGAGTTCGGGCTATCAAAGGCTTACATAAACAGTCATGATTGATAAGGTGTCTGAAACCAACAATGACCTGACCCAAAATGTTGAAAACATGCCTCGCCACAGGCCGACTTCTATTTACTATCTGGATTTTATTTTCAAGCCCTATTCTTTGTTCCAGTGTTAAATTATTCAAGGTTCACATTTTGTTTTTAATGATTAAGAGAAACTTTGGATAAAGTTTAAACAAAACACTGTTTAATGTCTAGGCTCTATTTTTTTTTATTGCGCCACATAATTTTAACGAGGTACAAGAAAAAATGTTTGAGCACAGATTTGTTTACGTTTCCGCAAATCTAAAACTTTATAAGAAATACGGGGCTTTTTCCGGTATCAACCTGAACAGCTTTTCATAGATGCCGATTATCGAAAACGTTTAACACAATGTGACGTCAATTGCAGTCGGTGATAGTGTCTGGATGGGTTAAATACAGCCTAACGTGTTAGATATAGATTAGTGTACAATTTAGTATCCACTTAATACTTGAAACCTTTGTCCTTTTTGGTAACTCTTTTTATATCTATATTTCTTTCTTTCTTTTTTGTTGTCCATTTGTGCTTCAATTCCCTCTTGGCAATGTCATTTTGCTTCAGATTTAATGTTACTCTTGACTTTTACTAAGTGTAACTGTCCTTGTCACTAACATGTCCGCATGTTCATAAGTAAGGTTAAGTTAAGTTAAGTTTTATTGCTAGTACAGGGTCATTATAGATCCTCTACACCAGACTCAATTAAATAACAATAACAATACATTAAATAAATCAATTGTGACAACAGTTCCAATTTCTATAGAATTTCGGACTTAAAAGTATACAAAAGTTGTTGATCTTCCCAATGCTTATCTTATCAGTTTTTTAAAGAATTTACTGTTGGTGACGAAATCACTTGTTCTGGGAGATTGTTCTATATTTTGACTACGAGCAGACCAGAACAGTTTTTGATATCCAGTTTACAATGCTGTGTAAACAGCATTTTCGGAGGTCTTCTTGTCTCCTGTCTTTGGACCTTGTCCCTTGGACCTTGTCCCCTGTCTTTGGACCTTGTCCCCTATCTTTGGACCTTGTCCCCTGTCTTTGGACCTTGTCCCCTGTCTTTGGACCTTGTGCCCTGTCTTTGGACCTTGTACCCTGTCTTTGGACCTTGTACCGTGTCTTTGTACCTCGTCCCCTGTCTTTGGACCTTGTCGTTCCAGCGTTTAGGAAAATCCGCTGCGTTGCTATCGCAGATATTGCTCGTCATTTTGAATACTTCAAAAATGCTCATGTTTACCTTATTATTCTGAATGGTGGGTTTGACCATTTTTACGTTTAACATTTGAGTTGGTTTTATGTAAGTTTAACAGATGTTTGTTCCCATTGGTCCTGTATGTTTAGCACACTATAGAAAAACATCATTGTAAAGGTATAAGTTAATCAGTAGATACATACCTGCCGCATTCGACAAAGTGACCTTACAACCTCGCGCACTCATGAAGTCAAGATCATGGACAGGCGTGAAAGTTAGGCCGATAAGTCAGCTGTGGTCAACGGCTAATCTTCACAGATCAAGGCCACACTGTCCCTTCAACGCCGAATAGTCTATCTCCATGTAAAATGATATTTGGAGAGAGGAGCTCTTCCATTCCAGTTTCGCTTCCAGACCAAACCCTACCAATTTGTACATACATTCACTTTCGTGGTTGTGAGTTTTTTTCGAGGAACAGCAGAACGGTTTGCTTCATTTAAAAAAGTATAGCAATACATAACACAGACATAAAAACCGTGCTAATGAATAAATATACTATAAACGTGTAAATATTGGCGTACTCGAATTTCCGCGAGTGGGCGATAATTTTCAACTTACATGCATCATGATTTAATGTACAGATATCATTGACACGATCGGGAATCGTCTTATCCTTGTTTACGGAAAGTGCAGACGGTTCCCGACTGCTCTATAACGAATATTACTTATAGTGATTGTGATTATATTTTAAGTGGTTATCATAATTGCTATAAAAAAATGACAATAAAATATATTTTAATCTAAAATCAAAACAGGCGCTTTTGAATTAGCGCGAAAAATGCAAGGTACAGATTAAAATGTCTTGAATAACATGAAACTTCTTAGAACTGATTATCGTATACCTTTAGGCGAAGAATCCGGAATTTCTGCTGTGTTTTTTGTCGTACGACCTCATTGCGCTATCAGGCTTAAAGTCTATTGTGTGGCTCTGTATATAGTTTTATCCGTGACATCTACAGTGGCCCTAGCATTAATGACCTTGTGTCGACGGACCTCTTAAAAAAATTGATATATAGGTCTTATACATGTACAATGGACTCAGGAGTAATTTAAAGTTGCATATAGTTATTCCTTAATTCGTTGTCACGTTTGGCGAAAAAACACAATAACACATACGTAGATCTTGATGTTTATTACACAGCGTGTACCTCTAGTGAAAAGCCTGTAATCTGATTGGTCGAGACAATTTGTTCATTTTACACTTTCACGTCCGCTTTGACATTGAGTCAATGGAAGGGCGTTTCCCAACGCCCTAGCAACAAGTGACAGTTTGGTGTGACAGTGCAAAATAGTGACCGCGCAAAGAACATGCGCGTTCGGTTCGTTTCAGCCGCAATGTTGACTTTCGGCCATGGGTGACAGTTAAACATATACCCTCGGGGTGATCCTAGGCACTATCACATACTAATATGTTGTATTCGTGTAATATTAAACACTGTAACATGACCACAAGTTGAATATGGTCACTATACTTGAGATTCCCGCCTTATGGTCGAGAGTTCTCCTTTAATCGTAGACCATCCACTGTGAAATTCTAGAGGTAATGTTTCCTCATGTCATGTCACTGTGAACACTCTCTGAGTGCCACAGAGAGTCAGGGTAAAAAGAGGTAAGCATCCTTTCGGAGATATCGTATTAATTATGTACTTGATCAGCTTATCGACATAGAAACGCCATCTCAACACTACAGTTAACAAACAGCAAACTTAATGATCTTGGCCAGGTTAATCAAATGATCATTAAATTAAGCCATCATTAAATCACTAATATTAGATTAGTTAATCTACCATTAAAATGTATCTTTCAAATGTTACTTAATGGATCATTAACTAATGGAGGTATCAACAAATAAAGTATCATCAAATGTGGGATTCCCTCTTCCCAAAATACATCCCTTGTAAACATCCAAAGTGGCAAAGCGAGGAAGCGGAAAGAACTTTGACACGGAAGAAGTGAAGCTGCTAACGGAATTGCAGGGAAAAATGCATCCGATATTTTAAATTCCAAACTATCAAACACTACTACAAGTAAAAAAAAGTTGGCAAATTTGGAAAACAATTGTAGAGAAGGCAAGTTCTCTTGAGAAAAGTATATGGACTGAGAACAGTATGAAGACAAAGAGGTCTAATACAACATCTGTTGCGGAGAAAGAATTTTCAGTCAATTAAAATCAAAGAAAGAACACCGGAGGACGATTACAACACCGGTTTGTCAGCTATCATTAACAAACGCGTACTGCTACATGTAATATCAAACATGGTTACTTTGAGACTCTGTGGTGAAAACGGAAGAAATTCGGAGGGGTAAAAAGCGCCGAAAGGCAGAGCAAAACGAAAACTAATGACTATGATGAAGACCAGAAACAACTCCACAGAATCGCCAAAGGATTGGTAGATCTACAAGGAGGAACTGTAATCAAGATTGATACATTTTCAGATAACAACTTTAATAAACCTCCTATAAAAAAGGTTGCCCAGTATACTCAGAACATCATCAATAAAACTTTGGCTAAGTCCAGTGTTCCATCTTAAAAATATACAGCAATCGTGCACTCAGCCGTTGAAGAAATCTACTTGAAAACAAGAACGAAATAAAGAACTATCGACCTGTTTCGAGCTTACTTTTTCATCTAAAATTCTACGACTTGTTAAACCTATTGATGAATAATCTTCTCCACGACAACCTTTAATCTGCTTACCGTCCATGTCACTCAAGACAAACTACTCTTCTTATTGAATTGCTGCGTTTTATACCATTATTCATGACATGATTTTGAAGCGCCTTGATAATGCATACCAGCTATGATATATCCGCTGCAACATTTTCCAGATTCCAGACTCTTTGGGTGAACTCCAATATATTAAAATTGAGTCGGGACAAAATATAACTCATTGTTTTTATAGAAGCCAGAGAAAGACTTAACCTTCAGTTCAGATTACAGGGCCCACTTGTATAAAACATCTCAAAGTTAAGGAAAATCTCAAGCAATGTATTGTCGATGGGAAATCTTAGACTTGAGTAAATCTCAAGAGTTGAGATGTTTTATACAAGTGGGACCAGTTATTTGGTGGAAAAACTTGATACTTTAATAGTAATAATATACAGCATTTATATAGCGCCCTATATAATTTGTAAAATTACTCTAAGGCGCTTTACAACATATGGATAATAGTAATGGTTATAATTGTGAAAACAAACAACAAAGGCTTGCAATCACTTGCATACATTTAACAAGCAATGTGCACATAATTGAACAAATAAAAGGGTGGTATTTACATGACGTCTTTGCAAAGATTCTAAAATGCAGACGTGAAGAGGTGAGTTTTTATGTCCCTCTTGAACTTAGCCGTGCTGCAGTGTTCTGAACCCTCTGCAGATGACTAGTTAGTATGTCAGATATACCACAGAGCATGGCGTTACCATAATCCAACCGAGAGGTAACAAGTGAATGCACCAAAATCTTGCATGCATTTGCAGCTAGAATCTGCCGAATACAGCCGATGTTCCTGATCTGGTAGTAACAGGATTTGGCAATCGCGTTCACTCAAAGTATACCCCTAGGTTTTTAACAGCTTGAACAGTCTCAATAGTTCTGGCACCAACCTTGAGCTGGATAGCCATTGTTTGCTGACACTTTGGGGAAAAGACGATTAGTTCCGTCTTTTCCTGATTAAGTTTAAGCATGTTAGCGTTCATCCAGACACTGATATCTGTCAGACAAGCTTCCAGACTTTCTGAGACTGTA